CGCAGCTGCTTCCTCCTTCTCCCTCCGCAGCGAAGGGCTGCTCCGAGCTGGGGGGACGGTGGTGGGGGCTCACTGGTGGCCGTGGGCTTTCCCCAGGCGGCCTGGGCTTTCTGTCATGCTGGACTCCCTCAGGGTGACCCCTGAGGCAGTAGCCTGAGGGAGGTTGTGCACCCCTCCTGGTCGGGCCTGTGCCTGCCTTGGGTGCCAGGCTAGCAGGGGTGCTGTTAAAGGTGCACTGATGAGTGGATTTTGTGGATTTTGTTGTTGTCTCTAGGTTCCTATGATGCCACAGTTAAGGTCAGGGAAAGTGGTAACAGCCAGCAAGGTGAAGTCAGCTGACAGGATGGTCACCAGCCCAAATGCTGTGGGTGCAGGGGCAGGACGTGAGCCAGGGAAGAAGTTGGTAGTCGAGCAGAGTCCTTGCCTAGCACCAAAGAGAAAACCTGAGCAGCCCTTATCTTCCTGTCTGCAGCCTGCCATGCTGCCCAGCATTTCCAGTGAGCAGTTTGCTCCTCTTGTGCCCATGCAGAAGGAACAAGGTGAAAGTAGTTGGAGACTCAGAGGTAAAAAATCCAAGGGGATACAGTGTAGGAGGACTGCTAGAAGCAAGAAGGGTGTAGCTCTGCCAATTTCAGCCACTGCTGTATGTGAAGATTGGCAGGCAGTGACCACAGCTGCAGCAGCATGCTGGGAAGAGACTGTAGGGAGAGGGACAGGACAAGGCCAACAGCTATTTTGCTCAGGAACTACTTTGCAAAATAAATTCTCAGCTGGGATTGAAAGGAGAGAACATAGCTTAGAAGGACTGAACTTCTCAGGTTTCCAGGAGAGTTCAGGGAGCTCAGGAAAAAAAGGCAAGTATCCCTTTATGGAAATAAAATTACAAATCCCATCCTCAGAGGAGGAAATGGAGAGCACAGAGAGACATGGCATTTCCTGTTTGCCAGAACCAGAGGTGCTGGAACACAGACAGGGCACATGTACTGAAATGAAAAGCACTGACTCCATAATGATACTGAAGATGCAAGTCCCAGATCCTAAGAAGAATTTGGGGACTGAGGAATCCTTGTCTGAACCAAAACATCAGGAAGAGGTAGATGCACCAGAGAAGTTGGATGAGTGTTCTTTAACTGGATCAAGAAAGCCAGGGACACAGAAGAAAGGAAAGAGATGCTTGAGCAAGAAAGGCCGGACATCTTTGATGAAACCAAAACAAGATCCCAGAGAGACAGGTAGATCTGCCTTGCTGGAACACCATACACAGTGTCCAGAGTCCAAGAAAGGACCTGTGAGGGTGAGGAAGAGGGACAGAAACACACCTGTGTCACAGCGGCTACAGGGTCTAAGTGGCCAAGAACAACCAACAACCAGAGGAAATATGCATAAGCATTGCATTAAAGAAGATCAGCAGAGCTCAAACCCTCAAAAAGGAACAGACAGCCTGGGGGAAAGTGGTAAGTACTTATGCCCCATTGTAGAAGTACAGGTGCAGAATTTGTGCCCCCACGACAAGGGATTGGTCCTGCAGTAAGACCTCATTAGAAAGTGAAAAAACAGGAGCTAATTTTTCTTTTGCAGGTGTGTCAGTGT